CTAAGGCAAAATCAGACCAGCGCGATGCGGATTAACCAAGCGCAATTGGATCTACAGGCCGCAGACTTCAGAGCCGTTTCTGCGAGCATCGAAGGAACCAATCTCGATGACATAGAGAACAATAAGGACGACATCATCTCTTCATTCCAGCAGCCTGTGGCGTCTGTTGACCTGTCAAGGTTCACCATTCCAGACCAAAACCTCGATTGGATTGACATGGATGACTTTGTGGAATTGGATTGGATTCTCCCCCAAGAGTCAAATCCTCGAACGCAGATTTTACCCTTGGCATTCACACCGCGGTTCACATACTTCCGCCAAACCGATCTTGGCAACCTGAGTCCGGATGAATCGGGGTATAGCACGTTTGGAGACGAACCCACCCACGAATGCGTTATGTCTGAGAACAACGACCCTCGACGAGTGCAGATGGAACTTATCAGAGACCGTCTTGCTACCGTGGAGGCACAGATCCGGGATTGTGAACGAGCAATCGGTGACCAAGAGCTTCGAATGGCTAAGGAAGTTGATCATGATCCAGACTTGCGAGCCCAGCATAATGATTATGTTAGACAAGCGGAGACCCTGTCGAGGAGGCGAGGCTTCCTCTCTGGCGGACTTCAACGTCTCGAACGGCAACTTGCGCGAGACGAAAGGTCACCTACGGAGAAGAATCCAGAGACGATTGCAAGCGATACTGCCTCCAGACTGGGAAGGGACTCTGATTCCACCAATGATGGCAGAGATGCTGATCTTGACGGGCTCTATTCGTCTCCCAACGATGATTTTGCCAGCGACTTCAACAACCGTTTCATGATTCACAATACACAGCTCAAGTGGAACAATTCCCTCAGGAACATTATCCTCCGTTATAGTCACCAGGTCAGCCAGCGGCGTGGATTTGTTTATTACATGTCACGACGAGCTGTCAAGTTTATACTGGACATAGTCGATGAGCAAAGCAAAAACAAGCGCAGGCACTCCAAGCTGTCACAAAGCGCGTCGAGGCGACCTTCTGATGCTCGGGGCTTAGTGGATTCGGAAGATGACGATAGTGTGGAAGACCGCATCGAGCAGTTGCTAAACGATGCGAAGCGGTTTGTGAATGCGGAAGAGCAGGACCAGTCGGACCAGCAAGGCCAAACTAAGCCCACGTCAGATGGTTCCAGCGAAAACATATCGCCAGAATTTACACCGCAAAACAGTTATCATCTACGACTCATTGCGCCTCAGATTCAGCTTCAGAGCGAGAAAAACCACAAATCCGTGCTGCTCGTTGCAGCTAAGGGCATGCAGCTCAAGGTTGTATCGATCATGGACAAAGAGCGGGTATCTGATGACATCAGCGGTTTGGTACAGCGTCGCTTCTCCCTCGACATGGACGGAGCCCAGTTCTTTGTCGCAACCCAGAAGAATTTGATGACACATTTGCAGTTCTATGCTGGCAACAAGTACGGCAACTCTCCTGGATCGGCCTGGCCACCTTGGTTGACCCTCGAGGCTATGTTTGATTTTGAACTGAACCCGTTCGGCTTCTCGAGAATTATACAAAAGACCTCAGCCAGCTTACGCTATGACAAGTACAACAATCTCCGTCTCAAGTATAACGAAGAGGTGGCCAAGGGACAGCGCCAGTCGGGCGAGCAGAATGTTCCAGATGGGCAAGAAACGAGAATGGACCAAATCAGCGTCGATTTCCCACACTTCCGTGCGATTTGTGATTCGGCCGAGTACTATTCGATGTACATCATTGTTTTGGACCTTCTTCTCTACAGTGAACCCTTGGAGAAAGTACGGAATGAACGTCTCGAGAGGATCATGCTTAGTTCCGACTTTAGCGATCTCCGTGGTGCTCCCGAAATGGTCTTCAAGCTGCAGGCCCGTATCAGACAGTTGGAGGAAATCAAGGAGCATTTCCAAATCCATGCGAAGTATCTGGATAAAAAGGGCTGGGAAGACCGTCTTTCCCTGGAGAACGATCTGACTCAGTGTGAAGATGAGCTATTCTTCCTAATGAAAGCCATCACGACATCTCAGCGCAAAATCGAGCCGACAACGTCTGGAGCGACCGGTATTCTACGCTGGAACATCTCTGCAAGCGAAGTTGTGTGGCATCTCATGAAGGACGAGTCGGAGCCGCTGGTCGAGTTCCAGCTTAGGAATGCCGAGTATGACCGTACCGATAACAGCGATGGTTCGAACCACAATTTAGTGGCAGTTGAACGACTGTATGGTTTGAACCTCCTTCCAGATGCCCTATACCCTCAGATCATTGTGCCATATCTCGACCAGACCAAACATCTGGATATCCCAGACGATCACATGATCAAAGTCAGTTGGCATATGCTTGAGGCTGTTGCAGGTATTCCGGTTCTGGATGACTTCGAGGTTTCGCTTTTCCCCCTCAAGATTCAGTTGGAACACGAACTCGGCCAAAAGGTGTTCGAGTATATATTCCCCAATGTGGGCTCAACGGCATTCGAAAATGGCGGTTTCTCGCCCTTCATGATCAAGAACATGAAGCCGGTAGACAACTCCGATTCGGAAGATGACGAGGACACCGGTTCAACCTCTCCCCCGACAGCACACGGGAGCAGTGATCCTTCGGTCGAAGACCTGCAGTTCTCCAAGGGACCCGGCGCTATCGAACTCCGACTACACCCGACGCTGTCGCTGACTGAGGAGGCCAGGCCTCGAACAAGTCGCTCCAGCCATCTGAAGGGCCTGGCCATGACGCCTCTAAACAAGGAACTTCCTCGACCTAGCTCATCCCGCCAGCTCGCACGCCCGGCAACCAGTGTTGGTGCTTTGACAAAGAAGAGATCGGTTGACAGCATGCGCGTATTGTCGCGACAACCCACAGAGAAGACCCTTGTGAACGGCTCGAACACCAACCTTGGCGAAGACAAGGGCAAGAAATTCAGCCTGGCCAAAATACCAACCAGGAACGGCAAATCTAAAGAGACCACCGATGATCTAACGCAGATGATGTCACGTGCATCGAATTACATGACTTTGGCTCACGTCAAGGTTCACGATGTGGTGCTTTGCTTGAGCTACAAGGGTAAAGGTGACCACAACCTGGAAGATCTTCACGACTTCGTTTTCCGTTTGCCGGTTCTGGAGTATCGGAATAAGACCTGGTCGAATTTGGATCTTGCTTTAAGATTGAAGAAAGATGTGATCAAAGCCCTCATCTCTCATGCTCCCGCAATTCTTGGGAACAAGTTCTCGCATCACCGGCCCAACAAACAGCAGCAGAAACGATACCGCGAGCTTGCAAGTTCATCCCAGATTCTGCACAACTCAGACACCGCCACGCTGTCGGACAAGAGTCACAGTCTCGCAAGCCAGGACTCGAACAGCGAATACTCCGAGTCACGCTCACAGAGATCTGTCCAGTCGGGTACCTCTCCGCTTGTGCGGTCTAATTCATTGGGATCCAGTACCCTCAGTACGCCCGATCTAGGTTTTCTAGCATCCGATGCTCGCTCTACGAGTGAAGTAGATGTGGATGCTCGCTGGGAGGTACGTATATTACCGTCAATCTATCTACGAGGGTGGACTTCCTTGTTAACGCATTATTTCTAGCAATCTCGCCGAATCGTGAACCCTCCTAATCGGCCCATGACATCGGGTACTACCATTTCCCGCTCCCAGACCAAACGATGGGACGGGTCTGATGACAGGTAAGATTGACTCTCCAGCCCTGTCTTCCCGTTGTATCGACTAATTCTTTTAGCCATAAAATGACGATCCGCAACTTCGGCCGCAAGCTGATGCCGTCTCGAAAAAACGGGTAATTGCATAAGCGACAGCTCAGATCACTACTGCTTCTATTGTCAATCATCTTCCTGCATTAATTCATGATATCTGAATTTCCCTTGCCATCTTTTCAGCATCGCGAGTTAGCATTTTTCCGCTCTGAGATACCCAGATGCAGTGGGTGTATATAGGCGTCTTTTTTCTTATTATTCTTCATATTTCTCTTTTCTTTATAAAACCTCTTCGTCTAACCGGTGGACTGATCTTTTTTTTTTTTTTACTTTCACTTTTATCTATATCTTCTTCTTGGGGACTCTTTTGGCATTTGGCATCCTGATTTGTTTACCTACTTAATCCTTCGTTTCTATATGGATTTCTTCACGACGACGGGTTCGTCTTTTTTGTTTTGGAATAGTTCTTCGATCGAACATCCCCCTGCCAGAAACCTATGTGCACCGATCCTACTTGTTTTTTCTTTCATCTCCCACGGGATCAACTATGTTATGATCCCAGATACCCGGCACAGACCATCTGATCAGACCGGATCAAGGCGTGGGCGTGAGAGTTAGAGATACGATGTGTCATTGATTACATATGGGGCTACTGTATGTGAGAGTTTGGGGCCGGGGGGGTTGGGAAGAGGACACTTGCTTGCTGGCTTGCATAACTTAACATAAACATTTGGGTATATATGATTGGAAATAGTTATGTAGAATAAATAGACGGTGCAATTGGATAGAAAGGGTATTTGTTAACTAGTTACATGCCCGATTTCGATTTGATTATTATATTGTGATTTGTTCTGTCCATTCATCTTTGTAGTTATTTTAACTTAGTTTGGGGTTGCGTACCCTACTGTAAGCGTACACGACTGTAAGGTTGTAGATCGGGATGAACTCCTGGCTTTATTATATTAGCTTTTCTTTGAGTTGGCTAGTTAGGTACGGATACAGGCCTAGACCTTCTGAGGCATTTGAATAAGTCCTGAAATCCCGTATATTCTGATGAGTGTAGTCTATATCAAAGAATGTCTATAGTTTTGTCGATACCAAAGGAAAAACAAGCAATAATTAGCTCTAACCTACCCAAAACGCCAGCCTGATCTTCCCACCAATATGTACAGTTACAAATCAAAATTCCGCCCAAGCCGCAACCAAATTTTATCTTATCCACGAAAACTGACACCCGCTCAATGAAAGCCCTCTTTTGAAAATAGAACCTAATATAAGAAATCATCATCCAAAACTCCGCTTCTGCGTCGGCTCCAACGGCGTCTGCGTCTGCATCTCATACTCGATATGCACATCATCCGTACGACGGATCTGCATCGGCCCGAGTCCACCACCATCACCAGTAGTAACCGTAGAATCAAAATCCAACCTTTCCTCCCGCAGAATACTCTCACGACTCTCGACGTTCGTCGTGAGTGTATAATCCTGTTTATGGAGCGCGTGGCGCGAGCGTCGACTATTGCTATTGCTATTGTGATTGCTTTGGCTGGCCTCGTTGCCTTGTTGACTGCTTTGTTGGTAGTATTTGTGGCGCGAGTTGCTTTTGCCGTTGGAGGTTAGTTTACGTTTGCCGAGGAGGAGCTCGAGGAGGGGTTGGAGGGTTGGGATGCACGAGGCGATGACGACGACGTTGGCTTCGACGCTGTTTTTTTGTTTTCCCGGGGGTTGGAGTTAGATGATTAGGTCTTGTTTCGTTATGTCATGGAGGGCTTTGAAGAGGCGTGAGTTTGTATGTACGTACTTGGTCCAGATGACGAGGGGGACGGTTCCATCTGTAAGAGGTTTTTGTAGGTTAGAATTGGGGGTTACTGGATTTGGGTTGCGGGGGAGGACAGGGGCGACGTACAAGTAGGATCCGCTTTGTCTGCAAGACCTTTTATCTGAGCACATTTGACGATGGCAGTGGCCGCCGCACTAGTTGAGCTGTCCGTCAGTATCATGACTCCTGGGAGTTTGAAGATTGGCAAAATTGACACGGACACGGCGCCCAAACCCAATGCTGCGCTTAGTGCCAGCTTCTTGCGAAAAGACATTTGCAGTTTGAACAATACCGTGCTGGGATAGATGGCGAGGTAGAGATCGACAAATGCGGATACGACTGCGGACGATAAATATTAACATGAATCTGTTGTCTGATGACTTCCTGAAGAAAGCAGTCGTATCCACGAGGGCTCACCTCCGTTGAAAGTAGCATAGTGAATCAGGACCCAGACATCACGACATTTCGCCTCCCCGTTCATGGCCATCCTGATCTTCCACAGTGCTTGTGGGGGGTCGCACATGGTAACGTAGATGATAATGTTGACGATGGCGACTGCGCAAATGAAGCTCGCCATGCCCCAGGTAATAATGCGATGGATTAGGCTCGGATTGAGGAGACGATTCAGTAAAGCTGCCACGCCTAGTTTGGGTAATGCAAAAGACAGAATGCCGAAGATAAACGATACGCTGTTGTAGAAAAGGCCCTTTTCGGCTTCTGCGATGTCCAGATCTGCCGTATGCTGCCCATAGCCATGCGCTACAGATGCAGTGGCGGTTCCCACAAAGATCAAACCTAGAATCTATACTCGAAAAGCCAAATTTAGTTGGTGGACCAGCAGGACCGAGAATGCTGGAAAATAGAGATGTATACTGACCATCGAAACTGCAATCAGCCAGTCATCCAGCCCAAGAACCCGCAACACCTTCTGTCGTATGAAGAGTCGAGCGACGACAATGAACGTGGTGACTCCCGTAAGCGCCCACATCACGGCCATCATCTCAGCACCCTTCCCTCTCCCTTGCTTTGTGTCATTCAAGGTAGATTCCGCCATGGTGGGAAGTGGAATATGTGAGTGAAAAGACAAGAATAATTGGAAAGTTGAAAGGACCTTATAATGAGTCGCTCAGACATCACCTGGTGCCCCCAATGCTCCCGTCCCTGTTGAAAAGCAACCAGAATCTGCGCTTTCACTTCAAGTTGCCTGTTCCTGACCTGGTAGGCCCATACACAGGTGATAGAGAAACCTAGAAGTGAAGAACAAGGAATGTGAATTGCATCGAGTGGATGAACTCCAGCAGGGTTGTTGCATTATCCTATCACGCAAACTCCTACAGCCAACTCCGTAGTCCGTACGGGGTAAGAGTCGGATTGTTTCGAACAATACATGGCCATCGGAGCTAAGTGGGCCGAAAGTAGGGGCGCATGATGCGGCCCTGTCCGAAAAATGGAAATGTCCTAGGATGGAGCTAAAGGCAACATCCCTGTCAGGAGAAAGACGCCGTTGCTTGTCATGCATGAGCACTGTGTGGTTCCGGATTGCGGCCCGCTCAATTAACTATCTAATAAAGTGGATCAGCCTAAACAGCATAGGATGGAGTAGTTCATAGGCGTACGGAGTAGGCTAAGTCCAACGAGGCGCTATTTAGGGACGAATTGAAATCAACGATTTGGGTGGCGCCACGGAGATTTCCAAGAGGAGCAAATACTAGACTAACAGTGGTAAGGTTGGGGTTTTCGAAAATCTTGGGGACAGGTAGATGATGGCTTCTTTGTTTGAGGAGCTGGCTCGTGGAACCCATCGCTCCTCTCTTATAGGTGTACGGGGTACGCTCGTGCGGTGTAGACCCGGTGGTTCAATTTCTCGGTCCCCGGCGCCGAGAATCGCAATTTTCTCCTCCAAATTGACGCTGCCTAAACAAGTAAAGGTATCAAGTGGCGTAGACTGCGATGCAACCTCGCCCAGGGTATAAGAGAAACTAGCATGGTCTTTTGCATTAGACCCAGGCCCAAAGAATATAGGGAGTGAAAAGTGGAGTAGAACAAAGAGAACAGGGTTGATATCATTCACTCGAATGAAATGGCTTGCTTTCCCCCTGTCATGCATGTCCAAATTTTGTGAGGTGTCAACTGTCAATCACTTTCTCTCTCCTCATCATAACGTTTGTTCCTTGTTTCTTCCAAATCCTCCGGAGTCACAATGGCCGAACTCAACGGGATCAACGGGACCAAAACAAATGGCACCAAAACAAATGGTGCCGGGGCTCACATCGTCCTTGATGGCCAGATTGCCATTTCCCCTAATGCACCACAGGATCTTCCCCGTCTCCTGAAGGAAGTCAATGCCCTCAGTCAAGATCTCACCGAGGGGCACCAAGAGGCCCGACTGAAGCTCATAGACGCGGCTCAGTCCATTGTGCGAGCTTTGGAGACTCCACGGGAGACCCTGCTTCGCTATTGCTGGGCAAACTCGACCGCTTTTGCGGCTGTCGAGGCATGCATTGATCTGGGGATCTTCCCCATCTTAGCACAGAGTGACCAATCGAGATCGGTGACAGAGCTTGCAAAAGCGACTGGTGCAGAGCCAGAGTTGCTAGGTTAGTTCAATCCTACTATCTGCAGTAAGTCAGACACGTGTAGCTCGGGCTCATGCAGATGCAGGGCGTCTCCTGAAACATCTCGGTGCCATGGGTGTGGTCGTTGAGACCGGGTTCGATGAGTACCGCCGCAATGGATTCTCAACGGCATTGGCGATGCCTCGTTATAGTGACACAATTCCATGCATGTAAGTTACCAGACCCTCCCTGACCGCCGGATCTTTCTTTCAAAATCAACATTCTAACCGAGGACCGACCCCTGGTAGAAACGGCTGCACCATTCCCTCCATCCACGCACTCCCAGCATGGCTGAAAAACAACAACTACACCAGCCCGAACGAGGGCAAGAACTCCCCGTTTTCACTAGGATTTAAGACCGACTTGCATTTCTTCGAATTTCTTAGTGCCAATCCCGAATACCCCCATCTGGCCGGCCAGTTCAACAACCTCATGTCCGCATACCACCAGGGACGACCCAGCTGGATGGACGTGGGATTTTACCCGGTGCAAGATAGTCTGATCCACGGTGCACGAACTGGAATCGACGAGGTGTTCCTGGTGGATGTCGGTGGAAACAAGGGCCACGATCTTGAGGAGTTCAAAACCAAGTGGCCTGAGGTGCCTGGTCGATTGATCCTTCAGGATCAACCCCATGTTCTGGCTGAGATCAAGTCTCTAAATCCGGCCATCGAGGCCACAGCCCATGACTTTTTCACGGAGCAGCCAGTCAAAGGTACGGTCTAGCCATATCTTTTTCTTCCCCTTGGACTTTTTTTGTGCCGTAGCTTCCTCAAGCTGACTCGTACCTTTACTGCACCTAGGCGCCCGAACCTACTTCCTGCACTCCATTCTACACGACTGGAATGACGAGACCTGCCAGAAGATTCTGCGTCGACTAGCGGATGCCATGACTCTCGGCTATAGCAAGCTGCTGATCAACGAAAACGTGATCCCCGATACTGGGGCCCACTGGCAGGCTACGTCCCTGGACATCATCATGATGGTGGACCTGGCCTCAAAGGAGCGTACCGAGCACCAGTGGTACGAACTGATCGAGCCGACCGGCCTGAAGATCGTGAAGATCTGGTCGGCGCAGGCCAGTGCGGAGAGTCTGATTGAGTGCGAGTTAGCCTGATAGTCCATAAATCAGGTGACGTCAGCTGTAAATACCAAGAACTACTTAGCCAACCGATGAAATTTCTTTTTGCTGTTAATTAACTCGCGGTGTAGTCTCTCAGCTAGGTATCGTACTTTTGCCATTCCAAATTGCTAGGGATGAATGCAGGGAAGTGAAAAAGGGAGCGGAAAACGTTGATTTTAGCCGCCCGCTACCGCCCGCTAGTTGGCTCTGATCCTCGCGGGTGCGGCAAGTGGGACCTGCCGAGGGTCACTAAAGTCAATAACTAGTACTGTAGTTTAGCCAGCAGAGAGATAGTTGTTGCCTCGGCCCCGATAACCCGGTGTCTGGACAATTTCTCATAAATTAACTCATACGTAAAGAGAACTGTGAGTTAATATACACCGGTAGAAAGGTGAAACAGCTTCTCTCGATGGTGGCCTACTATAGAATATGGATGCCTGCACTCCCAAGCATCAACCAGGATGTCGATCTGGTAGTCCCCATCATGAGCAAGCGACAACAAGCTGTCCATGCGCTCTGATCTCGTGCGACCGAGTAATGCCAAGGGTAATAGATGATGAACTCGCCATCAAGGTGATCGGGGCATATTCCATCTCTCATCGGATCCACTTCTAACTGGGAACTGTGGGTTGGTAGTTGGTACATCGACCGGGCGTGAATATCCACTTTCTGGGATGCGAGTAGCTGAAATACTACGGAGTATCGTTGAAACTAGGCGCTTTCGTCCGCTCATGTACCTACTCAGTAGGTTGGATCAATGACTTCATGAGGACCCGCTGGGTATCCGGAATACACAATAGCGACACCTGGTATCGTCATATTCGTTCATTCGGTTCGTTGAACTGTAAATCCTTTGGCTTTGGCACTATGCAAGGGCTCCCAGGCAATTACCTTCAGAGCAACGGTAAAACGCGATTTTAGAGCTGACATGGCGTTGTATTCTCATGCTTGATTTATATGAATGTATTGTGCAAATCATGTCGACCTCACCTCAATCGCTCTATTATCTTCTCGCACAATTGCTGTATCTGTATCCATCGCCCCAATATCATATCCAGCCGTTCAGTTTCTTTTTTCGATTCCACGGCTGTCGAATCAGCAGCGGCTGCCTTCTTCTTCATGTTCTCAATGATACTAATTGTCGTGATACTTTCTTTCCGGTAGGTATCGACCCATTCACGGATCACTGCCGCTGTCTTTTGCCGATCTACGCTTCGATCGGATTGCCCGAGGACGTATTTCCGCCAGTCCCGGAGAGACATGTACTTCAGGCATGCGGCGAGCTGGGTAGAGGTGCTAGGACCCTCTTCCGAAACCTCGAAATTGCTGGATGTCATGCATGAGATGGCTGTTCTCAACGATGGATTGTAAGATATACGCACCCGAAATATTCGCGGAGCGCAAGCTCCTTTTTCTGTGGCAGCGAGAGTTCCGGGAAAATGATATCGTCGAGGTATATCGAGTCGGACTCATTTTGGTCGAGATAAAAACCATCTAGCGCTTTGTTAGTAGGGCATGATACCAGGGCGCAGGTGACTGACATTCAACTAATAAGAAGTCGTTCGAGTGTCCCCCGTAGCTCATAAAAATCTCTTCTCCTTTTGCTATATTACCAGATTAGTGACTATGTTTATCACAACAACATCAGCTCCCATTTACCGTATTTCTTCGTCGCTGTGAAAGTATACTTCGAGCCATCGAAATTGACACCGCAAGCCTAAAATCTCCTTGTTATCACAGTCCTATAATATTCACATGAAAAGAACTCACCGCTTCATCCTCATGGTTGAAATAATCCGCAAACGGAACCAACGCTATTGCATCGTTCCAATCCTCCGGCTCGCCCTTCCCGGGCGACGTATAATAGAAGCTGCGCGAGTTGATAATAAACCAATGATACGCAAAATCCTCCCACTTCGTATCCGGAAACACAGAGACCACGTGTTCCCACGAGTCCTTGAGCCGTTTCTCTTGCTGCGCCAGCAACTGCTGATACCTCGTCTCGTAGTCCACATTGACCTGCCTTTTCGAGAACGAGTTCCACAATCCCGAGATGGACAGGGGCAGTATACTGGGCTCGGACGAGGAAGTACTTCCCATCTCCGAGCCTGAGCTATTCAGTCGTCGGAGATGCTCGGGCCAAAGCACTGGCATCGTGTCTTCGAATTCCTGCCAGCTGGGCCATGTGCGTCGCCAGGCTTCTAGCGGCTGAAGCAGCTCGGCGTCGCCGTGCGTGAGGTACGCTGACATGATCGCGTGGATGGATGCGTTTTCGGGAAATCGATCCACAAACCACGAGGGGATCGAGTCAATGGT